TGACGATGAAGGTTATAAATCTAAGGCCTCTATCCCAAAGTCAGACCCGTGACCGTCGTGAGTGGCCACCACTGATAACTTTTCGTTAAAGATAAATTTCCGTTTAAAACTTGCAGTAGAACCCCATTAACTCAAACTCTGAAGGGAAACGAAAAACAGTTCGAGTTAGCGGGGGTTCGAGTTACCGGGGTCAATTGAATGTCAAATTTGTCATCTTAGCAATGAATATAATAGTTACTGATTTTTCAGCACTTCGGTGTGATAGTACAGTGCAAATTTAACTTATTTCATCAGAAACGGTACCATGATTATGCCTTTTATGATAAAACGTGATCTGTTCGTTGCCCCAATCAAAATCAAATATAGCTGTAATGTTAGTTTTAGTGGTTTTACCGATTATACAACAAGTGGAGTTACAAGAACCAGAATTCGAGTTATCGGGGTAAATTTCAATGACATTTTGATCAAGGGTAAGAAAATCATGTTCGAGGTAGCGGGGAATTCGAGTTATCCAAGTTCGAGATAACCGAGTAAAAATTACTGAAGAGTGTGGTGAAATCCAAGCGAAATTGGTGTTAGTTCGAGTTAGCGGGGAGCTCGAGTTATCGGGGTTCTACTGTGTCTCTGCCGTGCATACTATTTAGGAATGGACTGATCTGACTGGACAGAGAAAAAAGGTACCCCTTTCGGGCGGAGCCTCTCCGTATAGGCCATCATAGGGAGACCCCACCCTACCCAGGCTAATGGTAAGGGTTCATAGACTTCAATGTTATAACATGGTAATCCAAAGTCTGACATACTCTATAATCTACGAAAAACATCTAACAATGACAAATACAACTTGTATGAAGTGAATTTACAATGGCGAGGTGCAATGACTTGAAGGCCTCACCTGAATCTTCCTTTCAATAAACAAAGTGCCATATATGTATAACTAGCCAGATTTTGAAAGCGTACCTACCAAAACCTGCAACCATTTAAATGAAAAGGGCCAAAAAGGGACATTTCTTGCATTCGGTAAACGCAAAAATAAACACTAAGCGGATGAAAAGAAGAAAATAAATAGAGAGAGCGAAGATATATACTTGTCTACTTTGGATAATAACAATAAAATACCTGCTTGACGGAAGAGGTCTATTTTGGCAGTAAAGTTTTCAAAACTCCGGCTAGATATAAATGGTCACAAACAAGGAAGTAAAAGCAAAGACTATTTCCACAGCAATGGTCGTAGCGTTACCGCATGGTATATTGGACTTCCTAATCTGTAATCCTTACGCATGGACCTTTCTATTGATGGGCGAGCTGCTTCCTGAGCGAAGTATCGTTTCCAACCACTTCAGTGCCTGCAGCAGGGTAATGAAAAAGTTGGCAACGATGTGTGGAAAGGCGCTTTTCACCGCCTCGTACACGTTGTAATAGAATACCTCTTTGTGCACTCCTTACACTGTATGCTGCAACACCAAACAAACTTACATCTGCAAGGGACCTGCTTGCTGTGTTCCACTGTCCGAGATCTCAGTCTACAAGAGTCACACAAAGAGACGCACTTGTCCACGCCACCGTCTTCGCTGCTGCAGGTCCTTCCCAGCACTCCTGGTGATCCGGCGGTGACGTTTCGCACACAGAAGTCTGGGGAATTGTCAAGGTAAACAAGCTTTTTGTCTCTTCTTGCTGCTATTTTCTTCGTTTTCACCTCTTTCAAGATACCTTTCATGAGAGACACTCTTACAGCATGTCGATATTTGAGCTTTAATTGTTGACCAACTTCACCGAAAGGTGCCAGGGATCTCCAGCAAGTTTTATATTCACAGCTGCCTGTGACACCGTGGCACTTGCATTCTTTTTTCAAGCTTAATCTTACCACCTGTTTAGTTTAAAACAAAAACCATTTTAGCTAATCTTACGACAGTAATTAATTTCATTTTGTTTGACGTCTCCATTATTTGTCCCCAGAGTTAGGAAGAGCAAGAAAAACACAGCTACTGCGAAAACATGAGAGGCCATCCTTAGTTTATAAATTTCTTTGTTGTTGTTTCCTGTCTTCCTGTACCCGTCGAACCAACCATGCTGACCAGCCATGAGCCATCCGGTCCCAGCCAGCCGTTATCAGTCAGTCAGTCAACCCATCAATCAATCAGTCAATCAATCAATCAATCAATTAATTAATCAGTCTTTCATTCAATTATTCAGTTCACCAATTAAAAAGATTTTTTTATCCCCTATAAATCTGTTCATTTATACGGTATGCAATTTCTTATAAACTTAATGTGCCTGCTTCATGTTTTAAAGTAAGCTCTCTTGACCATTATTACTATTCATTCAAAATATTTCCCCTCTTCTGATTGGCTAAAAGCACACGCATAATTACCATAACCAGTCACTGATGACCAAATTTGGAACAATTTTGTGTTTAACGAGGAAATGACGTCAAAAATGCAGCCCACTATAGGTTAAGGCACCGTTACCGAGAAGACCTGGGGACTAGGTTGAGTTGTTTTGCTTGTGAAAAAAAAAAATGGCGGACATTTCACTCGTTTCAAGAGTAAGAACTACAGCTGGAACGAGGCAAAATAATAGCTAAAAACATGGCAAAAACAGCAAGAAGACAACTCGGAGGGCGACATCTACTATTTGGAGAATATTTGCAGAGCTGGACAAACCTAAACGTACACTATCGAAGATGAACTTAACATCGAAGCAGGTAAGCATGTCTTGGCTATGTTCTTAAACTAGGAATTATTTGAACGAATAATAAAGCAATTAATGAATTCGCCTCTCTTAGGATATGAAGAATTAAGCAGATCTCGGAGGGTGTTATCCACTTCTGCCTTGGGCCTCGGTGGATAACACCCTCCTCGATCTGCTTAATTCTTCATATCCTAAGAAAGGCGAATTCATTAATTGCTAAATATACTGCTCGTGGCTGTAAAAAGTAAGATGGCAAGATATTTACCCGTCTTCCTATTTCATTGTTGTGCAGATTAACTGCCCTACGGGCGCTTTCTTCCTGCGGTTCCAAAACATCGATAAAGCTTTTCGTTGTGTTCTCACCGAACCAAATGTTATCCCCACATCCTCCCCACTGCCACTCTCCATTACCACTGTTGTGCTTGTTCTTTTCAACGCAATGACATCCGGGTATTTTGTTTTGCCGGCACTGAAGCGTGACCTCGTGTGTGATGGCAGCGTTGCTTATGGCATGTAAAAGAGCTGTCTCACGAGTGGCTGCAACAGAAAATGGTACCAATAGACGTTGTTCTACCCGCCATCTTTCCACGCGTGTTAAGATTTGGGGGATTACACAAGAGAAGTTTATCATCTCTTTAAGAAGAGCTAAGTCACATGGTCCGTGAGACGGCAATCAGCAGTCAAAAAGGCCATTACAAGCAATCATAAAGAAGTTTGGTAGTGTTAGTCAACAAATACTGAAGCTTTTCATGTGAAAGACTATTAAGAGAAACCACACAAGTTATCCTGAAGAACGACAAACGACAATCCCGAATGAGGAAATTAAAGAAACTCGATCTATACACGTTTCTTCGCTAAAAAAAAAATCAGCTCACTTTATTGGCTCTAACTTGCTATAACCTTACCATATGGAAGCGTTGTTTTAACAAATATGGGTAGATGTGAAAATACGTCCTGTTTACTCTGATCCAGAGAACAGTTCCAAATCTCGTTTTTGAATTGTTTCTTGCATTCTTCTAGCCCTCTGAATCCTCCCTCTCTCACAATACTGAGTAAAACTGGATAAGCCTGATAAAAAAGAAGAGAAGCTTCCAATATATCTGATTATCTCAAATTGATGCATGGGGTCGAATGGAGTGGTTACCGCGTAAGAGGTTTGGGTTTAAGCCGTAGGCGTTTGTATTGCTGCTTTTTCAGACAAGAAAATCGGATGTACACACAGGTTTGACCCCATTGGCGGCCTTAGAGAGGGCGAGGGGGCCGCGGTCCCCTTTTATCTGATTCCAAAGAATTCTCAGTAATATATGTCTTCTAGAACCTCTATTTGAATATTTGAACACAGACGCCTTCAGAGTTTTTAAATCAATCAATCAATCAATCAATAATATAAATGAATAAATAAATATGTAGTTCCTATAAAGCTGGCAAGTCTCTCGCCTTTCTAGGAGATTACGAGAAGGTTTGAACGCGGATTTTTGACGGTTTGTTCCATTTTGAACCCTATCCCGGAAGGCAAAATAGACAAACCGTGTCAATGCGTGGCCCCTGACTTTATGGGCCAAAAACTTGTTCTTTAATTAAAGTCTTTTTTTGATTTAAGATTTATAACATAAATAATGTAGGCAATACCATGTACTCAAGTGGGAATACTGAAATGAAGTTATTGTTGTTGTTAAAGTCATGGGGTGGGCTGGATAAAAAGAAATACGGAATGAATGGTGTGGGCAGTATTTCTGTATTCTTAATGTTAACAGAGTATTTTAGCAGTTTTTAGTAATACTTAATAATATTTTGCAACCGAAGGTTATGGTACTTTTTTGCCATGTTTGAGACAAATCTTACGAAACATGGTATCTCTTTTAAGAAACGATCCAGATAAGAACGATAGCAACAACGGCAACGAACATGTTGGAATGCAAAAAAGGTGCTAACTTTTCTATTGTGTGTACTTACTTCTGATTGGCTTAAACAGCAAAAGTTAACAAAACTTCATAAAGCAGTACATATATTCATCCTTACTTTCCAACCATCTTCCATATAACAAAATCTGGTCTCAGTTTGAATAACAAAGAAATCCTATGTGGGGAACATGTAGAATTGTAAAATTTTCTTGGCTATTGTTTTCAACGCTTGTGATTTGTCAAAATCTTTTAACACAAAAAATTACCCTTTCAAAGTGGAGTGTAAATGCATTTTATTGCGTAAACGGCCTTCATGTAGATTTGTGCATTCTCTCAGTGCAAAAATGAGAACATTCCTTTGTGGGGAAAGCACCGTTGCCGTATAACAAAAGAAATTGCTATCCACCCGTACCCGGATCATTACTTAACATAGGTTGAGCAAGGTACAAAATAGTCAAATGACGTCACTAAGTTTTTGCCGCCTATTCTTGGTAACCAGGCCGCAGAAACGTGGCGTTTAATGGCGGCGAAAATAAACGGCATTGGAGGACGAAAAAATCACACTTTCCATCGTCGTATGAAGCTATAATTGGTACACCATGTACTTAAAGTACGCAACTACCAATCAATAATTTGATCGTATCAGCACTTTAAGAACCAAATTGCAGGCTCCTGTTGTTTTTTTGTCTTTTTGTTGTGTTGTGTTGTTTTGGTAAAAGATAATCGGTTATGTCTCGCTTTTCAAGAATTTAAAACCAGAAGTAGGAAGGGATACAAACTCAGATAAAAAGATTAATCATTAGTCCTGCGAGTAAAAAAAAAATACATACCTTTTGTCTAGCTCCGTTAAGGGGCAATCCTCCACTGTTTCTGCTAAAAGAAGATAAAATTCACCAAATCCTTATTAAATATAGGTTGCACTTCACAACTTAATAGTGTCATTTACAGAGATAAACCTATTAGAAAGTGAGGTAATCGATCAAATACCGTATTTATTCGATTAAGCGCCTAACCTGGAATAGGCACCCACCTCAAATAACCGGCCAGCCTGTAGGCAGGAAAAGTTAATAAGCTCCCAGCCTCGAACAAGCAACGATTAAGAGAAAAACACAGTAGACTTGGTATTCTCTGTTTCCAAAGAGCATATAAACGACAATAAGATTTGTCGATTTCCGGTTATGTCACAAGTAGCGACTGATACAGCCAAAGAAACTAAAAAGATTTGTTCGGAAAGAACAGTTCTTGCCATTAATTCTTTTAATCTCTTCATGTTTCTCTCGGCAACACCGCGCCCGACCCTTTCTTAAGAAATTTAAATGGTTGGCAAGGCCTTGTGACACCATGCATACAAAACCTTCTCATTATTAATTTGTTAAGCCAAGAGGGGATGATGGCAGATAAAGGGAAACTTAGGGCGTTTGCAGGGTTATGTGAATTTCATAAAGTTATTTTAAGAGGTTGTAAGTCTGATTTCACATTTTAGTCGATTGTTTAAAACGACACCAAGTCTGCAAGCGACTGTGTCAAGGCAAACAATGCAGAATATTGGAATGGTGACTGTTGAATTCTCTCTTGACAAAAATGACTAAACGTTTGCGGGCCTCTGCAGTAACCAACTTCCGATTAATTTTAGTTAATTCAGGACATTAATTTGGTTTAAAAATAACTTTGGTGAAACTCACATATCCCAAGGGATAGACAAGGCGCTTTCCTGTCTGTTCCTTTATAGGGTAATAACCTGCACTAAATCTCGCCGTTGGACGACATTATATTTTACTTGTGAATGTGATTCTTACTAATAGGCCATTTCCGAGTTCCAAAAAGTCTCACTTTCAAAACGAGACTTGCAAAGATGAGTTTTATTTGTATGAGAATAAAAGTCATTTTCATTTCAATAGCTTCGAACTAAGCCTCGCTTTGAAAAAGAGGCTGCAGGGAACTCATAAATGGCCCATTAAAATGTGCTTTTTCAATTTCCTCTGTATAAAAGTTTTTGTTAGGTTTGGTGACCAACTCTTATAAAACGCCTATTTCCATTATGTCACGAAGGTAGGGTAAAGGAGTTTCCAAGGTGATATGAACGCATAAACTTGCCGGCCGCTTTAGCTGTGGGGATAAGCCACAAAGAGAGACAAAGATCAGCTAAACAGAATTGCAAGCCCCTCTAAAACAATTTTTAGAGTGGTTTGCAATTTTTTTTCGTCGAGGGAAACTCTCGGATGACCATATCTAAACCGTATAAATGTAATACAGCTCGTTAATTTTACGAGGTTATATTTTTCAATAATTTTTTTTGTAAGCCCTTACGCATGGCCACATCAGACGAGCAAATGTCACGACATAGACGGTGAGCGGTTGTCCTTCTTTCAACAGAGCCACGAACGGCGAGTGAAACCGCCCTCGTTCCTCGCGGCTTCGCCGCTCGCTCCTCACGGGTGCTTTCGAACTGTGAATCAAGAGAAAAACACAAGACTGCTCACAGTCTAGTCACCTCGTACAAAGCCTTTTTTTTTGCAATAAAAATTCTTCGCTGATTTGCCTTTTTTGTGCATGGGTAAATAGTGAAATTTGCTCGCCTGACCTAAAAAAGGATTAAAAATTAGAGACTGATCTCATGGGAATCGCTACCTCAGACTATACCTTTTGCACCAAATAAGTAATCGGAACATTGCTATCACGACACGATTGATCAATACACTACCAACACGCACATATGAGAATGACAATTTGTTGAGTAAACTGTTCATCTCGCTACTAATAAGGCAAAAATTTCTCACCTTCTACGAGTCGTTCCTTTTCGTGCAGAAATGCTTTGCACAACAGCAATAAATAGGACGGGAAAAATTAGGGCGAATTTCATTTCTTAAAGTCTTTTTCTCAAAATACCAGTCTCTACTGTTTTTAGTTGCTTTGATGACAGTGGAGCCCTTAAAGATAAAAAATAAGTAAGAAAACAACTCATTAATCACTGACAATGGCAACAAAGGATTGGAAGGCGTATAGTAATTAAGGATCACGATATATAAGAATACCTTATACTGGGTCCCTTTTTACGCCTCATTACAAGTATTCAAGAAAATTCTAGCCACCCTTCGACTTTTGTTACTATGGTTAAGAAATAAAGGGTGTATTTTTTTGTATCTTTTCTTTTCGCGAATTTTCTAAAGCTTTCAGTAGACTAGCCATTATTTACAGAGCATTTCATATACGGATTTATCACAAATTAAGGTGAAGTAGAGAAGAAAAAGGTCGATTGCCGTAAGCGCAGTTTAAATTCCTCTAATGGATATTTTTAGCTAAACCACTAAAGAAGAAAAAACCAACAAACCGAACAATGCGTTTGAAAAAACAGGAATTTGATAGGTTGATTTCTCAATACACTTGCTAAAAATAACGTCTGTAAGTTAATTGCCGTTTGAAATTGGTTTCAGGTCTAAAACGCCCAATGGGCAGAGAACCGACAGAAGTTCGATTCCCGCTGGTGAACCATGTTTTCAGATGGGATGTTATATCCCGTTGCAGTTTCCTTGTTTATTCTTAATGATTCTTTGATTCTTGTGGTTGCAAACTCGCTATTTCCATTAGAAGGCTTATAAGTTCGTGGGCTGAAGTGTAATAAAGAAATAGGAATAACGAATAACGAAAATGTTGGAGATAGATTCATGGCATGATTTCCTGATATGGGTTGGAATAAAGGAATAACGAAATTTTTCGAGAAGAAACAAATTGAATAATTAATGAAGAGGCCTCATTATTCCTCCTCACCTGTCAATTATAGAAGTCAGAGAAGCTGAATGAAATTTGTTCAGTAATAGTTTTTGTTGTTGTTGTTTTTGTTTGTTTGTTTTGTTTTGTTTTGGGTCTTTTTCTTTTTAACTGCTTTATCAAAGACAATCCCGGAAGCAGGCTGGGGTAAGAAGATAAAAGACAACAATACTCATTTTTATAAAACAGATTCATACTTAGCAAATACTGCTATTTTTATGGTTCCAATATCATTTGGCTTTTCTATGACATTTCAAATGTGCAAACGGCGTTTAGACAAGTTTGAAGAGTCGGACGAAAGTTAGGCGGTTCTCTATTCACTTTCTCGGCAAAAACATGAAATCTTAATTATCGTGCCATAATTACATTAAGTGATTTTTGTTAATTACGTGTCGATCATATGACGTCAAAGCTTATAATTATTTGAATGCCCGCTGCATGAATCGGTCAGGTCAGTCATAAGCTTAATTTCCAAGGGCAAGCACGTTACTCCCGCAGGAGTCTATTGATTCAGTTACGACGTCATTAGCTACTCAGAGTACTTATGAACTTGTTGCTAAAACCTCTCGTTGTGTGGTCTTTGAGAACGCATGATTTGAGCCTTTATTAGCATAATAAGTTATTTTCAACAACAAATGACAAAGCGATTCAATATTTCGTCCTTTGGCCTGCGAAAGATAATTTTACCTCGGATGAGAGATTTAATTCGCGCCTCTTCCCTGGATCTAGCCTCTCGCGCAGACGTTCTTTTGGTTCGTCACGCAATAATCCTCCTGGGAGAGCAGGAACGCGTGACGAACCTCTTAAAAACGTCTGTGCGGGAGGCTACCCTGGATATATATCTGCCACTGACAATATCTTCAAACAAGTCAGAGCCTCTTTGATGACAAACAATGCTAAACCGCAGTAGAGCCATGTTAATGATCGGGCCAACCGTAATATTTATACTTCCCTGGTTAAATTTTATCGTTGTAACTTTTAACGGCACGTATGATGATCTTCTAAGTGTCGCTCATTTTTCTGTTTCAGATTTTGTACATTGTTATTCTTTAAATAAACTAATTTACTAAAGGCATGGGTGATCCAATCATTTTCAATATGCCGCGGCTTAAGTTTGATGGTGTTAAATGATAATCTTTGCAATCGGCTATCAGTCGCATTTACCCGTATAATCTCCTGCTGAAGTTGAAATTAAAGAAAAACGGAAACAGTACAGATTTAAATTTGTTCCAACGAAGGTTCAAAAACAATGCTTATAATTGAATCAAAGTTCATTTTTTTGTGTTATGCAGCTAAAAACTCCCATTGAGCTGGCAATCAAACAACACTAAAGAATCATTTGGTACACTATCACGAATTCTGCAACATGATTTGCTGAAGTAGTCNAAAGGCATGGGTGATCCAATCATTTTCAATATGCCGCGGCTTAAGTTTGATGGTGTTAAATGATAATCTTTGCAATCGGCTATCAGTCGCATTTACCCGTATAATCTCCTGCTGAAGTTGAAATTAAAGAAAAACGGAAACAGTACAGATTTAAATTTGTTCCAACGAAGGTTCAAAAACAATGCTTATAATTGAATCAAAGTTCATTTTTTTGTGTTATGCAGCTAAAAACTCCCATTGAGCTGGCAATCAAACAACACTAAAGAATCATTTGGTACACTATCACGAATTCTGCAACATGATTTGCTGAAGTAGTCACTATATTCCGTGATCGATAGTGACTAAAAGGAGTAAGCCGGTGTTTTGAACAAAAACAAAACAATAGCAACTTCTTTGACAAGCCGTTCTTGCGATGAAAATAAATGAGCTATTTCCAGAATAGTACTCAACGGCCACGAAATACGGAATGAACATTTTAATCCGGGTAAGATGAACAAATTTAGTTAACTATGGCTGGTTTGCAAGTGACGTCACGGCGGCCATGTTGGTGTTCAAGTAACAAAAATCATTTCTCTCTTTTGGGGACTAAACTCTTTTTTTATTTAAATTCTTCGAAGCTCTTCGAGAAAAAGCATGGCTGCCTTGTCACCTGGTTGCAAACCAGAATTATGGACTCGAAGGCACAGCTGTAGTTTGATAGTTGGCTTCTACTAAAGCATTTAGACGACCAGTTCGAGTTTTTAAGAGTCAAATTGTCAAATGGGGCTCAGAATGACATGAGAATATTGCTGTTTTAGGGAAATTCTGTGCTGACATTCATTACTTACTGGCTTTAGTCATTCACAAAATTCTCCTGTAGAGTTATGAATTAAGAAGGTATCAAAGAAATTTCATCAGAGAGCACTAACCATAACAGGCAGGCATAGCATTGAAACTTGAAAAGGTTGGGCAATTCATGTCCATCCCTGCCATCCGTTGCAACGGACGACAGGAAACAGTCCAATACCTAAGTGTACTGTTAAATAAAAAAAAAACTGGACAATCATTTGCGAGATAAACAGATGCGAAATCTTTTTTAGCTTGTTGAAAATAAAAGATAGCCCGAAATAGCGTCCTCTAGTATTTATAAGCAAACAAAAAGTATAAGGAAACATGACGTGATGTTTATATACCCTAAAATACTAGATAAATTGAATAAACAAACTTACGGGGCTTTCTTCCTTTCTGCTTCTTTTGAGTGGTCACCGTTTGACTGTTTGATAAAAAATCCGCAACTCCAACAAGTTGCTTACAGGCGATAAAATCTACTTTTCCTCTGGTGATAGGAGACTACGGATCTGTGCCGGGTTCTAACTGTTTTGTTTAAGAATTACCTGGTACGGCAGTACATGACTTCCGACTTCACCTTGGCAATCAAAGCCGGCGTTAAAAACTCTTACTTGTTTATGTTTTTGTCCTTCCTGAGGATAATCGGTTAACGCCCTTACTTATCCAAATCTAGAACAATAAGAAGCTAAATATAGAGAACAACTCAGGAAGCTGGCTCGTACATCTCTGTGTTCGATTTAATCCTTAGATTTTGAAGTCAGAACTCTGTATACAAGAGTTCTTAAACTTTTTGAAAACTGAATCAATAATTAGCATTGCTGATTTTTTAGTGTTATCGCATAAGCCGCTTAGATTTGAGACATACCTCAAGGAAATGCGGTGATCTTTTCGTTGTTACAAAATTCACGGTTTTGAACTCTAAGCGATGCAATTTACTGGAGAAAAGTCTCATCCTCGGCACCACCGGAGCCATTTAAAGAATATCGCTGTATTTTAAAATATTGAAAACTGCACAGAAAACCACCTCTAAACCAAAGGACGCAATTACCAAGGGTAGTGTACTCCCGAATGCTCACTTAAACAGATTGTGTGGGCGCCCTGTGAAATAATGTTTGACTCAGTAAAGAAAAGGTCACGTCGCAACTTAGGCAACACTTCCTTCCGTGACGTGGGTTTGGGCTGCCTGTGGTTGTTGTTCTAAACAATGACTGAATTCCTTTAAGAGGAAATATATTATCTCCTGCCGAACATTTGCTGTATTTGAGCTAGCCTAAGGCCACATGGGTTTGAAATGTCAAAAGTATAACGACTCGCAGACAATTTATCAATCTATCTACCCTCGCGAAAAAGGCGATGAACTAATATAAAACAAGACTATTACTTATCTCCTTGGAATGCCATTTAAGTTTTAATTTCTGGTTGGCCTGTGTCATTCTTTTCCTTCCTTTTTTCAAGACCCTTGTACACTGCCGGAACAGTATTGGCCACGTTTCTGTTCTCACTCATGTTAGGGTGATCTCCTTAATATCATATCTCAATATTATATCCCTAGCTAGCCCTCTTACCTAACATG